TTGCCTCACTTTTATGCACTATCATACTTTTCGCACACACTGCCGTTATGTCAGTAAAATTATGTGGTTACTGAGTATGTGATTTGTATGCAATAGCAGAAAAAAAAATATTTAGAAATTACCATAAGCCCCAGTCAGCGCGATGTAACATGACCGAAGCGAGTACTCCCGCCAGTCCCCATCGCATAAAACCAAAACCACATAGTCAATGCCTGACACCCGACACCCGACTACCCGTCTACCCGCCTACCCGACAATCAACACCCAAAACACTGTCGCCATACCGCCGCGAGCTCACAGTGTCCATATCATCCACATCACTCGTTGAATGGCTGCTGCGTCATGCAAGTAATTTTCAACTTTGCCATCATCCATTTACATAATTTCTCGGGATTCATAGTGGGCTTATCTTCTTCGTCTATTTTGGCGCAGCTGCCTTTGCCTGGCTTTGACTGCTTGCCTAGTATGTCGCCGTTGGATAATAAATGGATGTGGCACATAAATAAACTTGTATATAAGTAAGGATTTATATAAATGTTTTTTTTTTTTATATATATATAAATACATACATATGTATACATTGTTCGAGGGGCTTAACAAAAGTTCGGCCAGTTGGTGACTTTCAATTTGTTTTTTATTAAATTGAAAAACGAAATTCCAACACCAACATAAAAAGAAATTTGCCATTTGCGGTAATTTACCGTCATTACAAATATTCAGTGAACGACAAATTGCCTATGGAACGATTGCACCGTTTTTAAAAAATATTTCTAAGTAGTTCCGAAGATTCCAGACCGCACAGTTTTCCGTAGAGGACGAGCACCAAGAAGGTTAACCAAAATCTTCCACCAATGGTGAAGTACAATATTGACGAATACCCACAATTGGCACCAGATACGATTGCTAATGAATTGGGCTGGAATGCAACCATGGCTGTATCGCGAATATTAAGTAATCATCTCGGACACACGAAGAAATCTGCTCGATGGTTACCACGAATTTGAAATGAGGCCCAAAAAGAAGTTCGAGTGCATTTTGCTCAATTTCCCCTAAACAGCCGTTACTGGTAACGAATCTTAGCGCTATAAGAACGAACCAAAAACCAAAAAGCAGTCCATGGTATGAAGCCCAACAGGAGCAAGCACACCCGAAAAATCTAAGCAACAAGACTCAGCAGCAAAAGTAACGAAGCCAATTTACTTAACCCGATCTAAAATCACAAAAATTTTTAAACATTTTTTGGAAAACAGGAAGAAAAAGGATTTGCGATATTAACCGGTTATAGCACCTTGTGATTTCTGGTTAAAAGTAAAAAATCTGTAGCAGCAAAAGGAGGTTAATGCTGAACTTGATAAGCTTGAATGCAAGGTTTTCAAGACTGTTTTCAAGAGTGGATCTATAGGTTTAAGAAATGTGTTAAAATCAATGCCGATTATGCAGAGAAGATGAAAAAGACTAAAGATCACGAATAAATACAAAAGAATTTTTTTGTGTTTTTTTTTTTGTTTGTTTCTTGTCAACTTACCGAACTTCTGTTAATCCCCTCGTATACACGCTTTTATAACAAGCACACACGCATACATATGAAAGTACGCACTGTGGATTCGTATTTAGTTATTACTTAAGATGGAGGGAGCCAAGTCACGGATTAGCTTACACATTTTATTAAATGGCCTGAAGAAAGAAAATCAGAACATGATGTAGAAGAAGAACAAGCAGACGTTGAGGTAGAGGCCGAAGAAGCGGAAAAATTGTGCTAGAATTGAAATTCTTGAAATCGCTGTGATTTTATCACGGATTCGTAAATCGCTACAATTCCAAGTTGTTTTGCCTGTTCTTGTGCGCGTTCATCTTTAATGGCGGATGAAGCAATAAAACCCGAAGCTTTTCTGTTTGTATTTTGTATTATGGCATTTTGCTTGTTTTGCCATTACTTTTATTTTTTATTTATGCCCCATTTTTTTCATTTTTTTCAGAGCGTATGATTTGATTTTCGACGTCAATGCCAAACACGCCATGGGTACACCCATATTTGTCTTCGTATATGTATACGTGTATGTACCTATGCATACGTACATATGTATGTACATACATGTATCTGTTAACTTGGGCTTCATCTTCCAACTCATCCGCATTTGTTTCATTTAATTTTAAGCCTTTTTTCTGTTTAATGAAACGTGAAGATGTGCACAGCGCGGCAAGGCGTAGAGATAAAAGATGGAAGAATATTTCTTCGCAAGCAGCAAGCAGACAAGCTCATAATCAAACACAGTCGCAGAAAAATCGAAAGCATATACAAACCAATTTGTTTATTAGAGGAAGATTTTTTGTTGATTTGATAGGTAAATGGAAATTTGAGTTCGCTGGATAGATGAACACACACGTACATATACTCATACATATGTATATATGAGACTGCGGATAAATTTCTTTTGTTTCCTTAGCTTGTTTGAATGACGAAAAACATGCAAAGTAATCATCGAGATTGGATTAAATTACCCAAAGTTGATCTGATTGATTTAAATATACTCATTTATGCTTACACGGAAGCAGATTATAAGCCAGCCAATTCCAATTTCAATACCCTTAGAAAGTGTTTGTAGATCTTGTAAGCCATGGCAAGACACTGTGAAATACGCCGAAAGCAATGTTCAGGACTCTGACTCTGTTTCAATAAAGAAGAGAGACCTGTGAATACGACTCCCGACCAGAACGCCCAATCACGGTCGTGACCCAAGAAAATGTTCCGTTAGTCGAAAAATTAGTACTGGCTGATCGAAGAATCAGCAGATAGCAGAAAGATTACAGATTAGCACAGCAAGAGCTAGTGCCGCTCAACAAGCAGCAACGATTGGAGAGTTGGAAAGATTTTTTGGAGTTGTGCCAAGATGATTTGGATGAAATTTGCAGGAGTCTATACAGTGGATAAAAAAGTGCAAAGGTCACCAAAAAAACTCAAAGCGGATAGCTAGGAAATACTATTAGTTAATTACTTGCCAAAAGAGCAACAAGGAACACTGAACAACGCTAATTTGTTGAGTGACGCTCGTGATTCAGTCGCTCAGAAGAGACGTGGCGAGTCAGCGCGTGGAGTGCTGTTTCTTCAAGGCAATGCGCCTGTTCACACCGCTCGGGTTGCGAGGGATGCATTAAATCATACGTCCCACTGACTTTTTCATTTTTTTTTTTCTCAAATTTATTTTATCCAGCATTAACTTCGTTTAGTTAGAGGCACTTCTTTTTCGTTCAAGGTAAATCGACGAAGAAATGGTGCGCCTATATAATTTTTTCTTAACTACTGTACTAGTCTGTGGAGGATCTGAAGACATACATTAGCCCCTTGAAACCGACGCATCGAGCCCCTCTCTTCCTCTGATCCTGTCCCGTCGAAACAGCACGTTTTTCCCGGACCTCCCGGCAGATGAGCTCAGTGACTTAGATCATCTAGCCTATGGCTAAGCAGGGTTAGCGAGCCGCTACAACAACAACAACAACAACAACAAGAAAAACAAGAACCGCCGCATCAGCTATTCTAAGCATCATCACTAAATCCCTTCTTTGGCACCTACACGAGTGTATCCGGCGTTGAAACCGGAAAATGTTAAAGCCCTCATCTTTTCACAAAATTTTCTAGCATTTCCTTCTTTGTTCAACTTCCCAAACATTTCGTAGTCACGTAAAGGTGCTTGAAACTTCGTCCTACAGTTCCCTTATGACGAGATGCTGATGAGTGCTACCAGAGAGCACGAATGCAAGTCTATTTTGATTGAAGCCTTTTCAGTCGAAAGTTCCTCAATATGGCGATGTTTAGCCACGCATGCTGAATTTCCCGACTGTTGAGTTGAAGATACCTTCTTTGCCAACTCTGCTATTATAGCCGACAAGAGTTGTCACATCGTGACGAGGCTTCACTCATAAGGGAGAGGGATATCAGATAGATAGGTTTCAGAGGCTTCCCGTATTCAAAGAGCTAACCTCCTTTAGATTAAGAGTTAAACATTGTACCCCTCTTCCATTGGTCTGATATTTTTAAAAACTAGAGAGTCGTTCATTCCGACACACATATTTGAGCTCCTTTACGCATTTTCTTATGACTTGTCCTTTTCAACGCAGTTCTTGGTACATTTGTCACGGTCGTCATGGAGCTAATTTTTACATGGCGGGTTCCAAGCCTATAACTACCCCTCAATAACTGCCCCTCTCGTCACTCACCCGCAGATCTCACTTTGCGTCGCACTGCAATTTCCAATGCGCATTCTCCCTTTGTTGCAGGAAATTCAGGAAATGTGGTATCGTTTAAATTACAAAATTAAAAGCAACAAAATAGAAATTAAAAAGACACAAAAGAAAGAACAAAAACAAAAAAATTGCAAACATATTGTCGAACTTTTTTGTTGCAGATGTTGGTGATGCGCGGAGCTCATTTTACGCATATTTTGCTTTTTTTGGTCTTCTTTTTATAAAAAAAAGCACATAAAAACATAAATACATACAGGCATACAGACATACAGACATATCTACATACAATATGTATCTGCTTTTTACAATATTTTCAGCTGTTGCTGAAGGGAGCTGTTGGGGTTGTACGTAACGCCTTCAATACACGTGCAAGCGATTAATATCAGCGCCTATGTTGGCTTCTTGGCTTCCAATGGTTTTGTATTGCTCCTGTGAAATTCGAGCCGCAGTGTGGAAATCGTATATTAAATATTGCAATCGTCAACAAACCTCACATTTATTTGTTTGTATATCGGAATTCAGTGTGCTGGTTTCAAATTGAAGTGCCTCGATTTACAGTAAAATGTGTGGGAAAGCATGTGGAAATTGACGGTTTATATGTATGGTGGAGTCAGTACAATTTAAGTAAACTTCAAATTCTGTTAAGCTATTGAACACAAACCCTAAAACTGTTATCAAAAACCGATTTCAATTGAAAAATGCCTGCCTGAACTGAAAGCTCAAGCATAAAAGTGTAATAAAATAGCCGTTTTCCCACTCACCTGTGAATCTGTGACGGTCCGGATGACATCCGCTGCTGATAAGCCGACATATTGGCTTGCTGCTGCTGTTGTTGCTGCTGCTGCTGCTGCTGTTGTTGATGTTGTTGCTGCTGCTGTTGTTGATGTTGATGTTGCTGCTGTTGTTGTTGTGCGCTATTACTACCGCTATTGTTTTGTTGTTGTGCAGCCGATTGCTGCGCTTGCGACGGTTGGTGATGTGGATGAAGGTGCGGGGGTAGGTTACCAAGTTGTTGATGATATTGTTGCTGCTGCTGCTGCTGCTGCTGCTGCTGTTGTTGTTGTTGTTGCTGATGATGTTGCTGCTGAGGCGACGGTCCATTATCATGCAAATGCGACTGTGGCTGTTGATTGCCAACGCGTTGCTGCGGCTGCTGTTGCTGATGATGGTGAAGTTGCTGCTGCTGTTGTTGCTGTTGACCACCTGACGTAGGTGGTGGACCACCGACCTGCACTGATGAGCGTATGGCCGCTTCCATTTCATGCCGAACTACTGCCGCTCCTGCTGCTACAACTGCTGCTGCCGGTGTCGGTGCTGCTGCTTCTAATCCTGCCGCAACCAAAGACACAACACATCACGGCAATAGCGCGAAAGATGAAAAAAAAATTTCTGGCAGACAGTCGTTACAGCAGTTGATGGCGACAAACATACACGCAAACACAAACGAATATGAGATGTGACGACTAAGTGCTAGAACACACAACTTATTAGCCACGAAGCATGGAATCCCTCAAATTATTGAAACAACACAACTCTTCAATCTTCGAAAGCGCTTACATACACTTACACACAAACTTTTGCACTCTACACAGCCTCAGGCCATTGGCCTGAGCCACACAAGGAGGAAGCGAATTCTTCCTCGCTTCTATGCGTTATTGCAACCTTACCACCTTTATTAATTTTTTAAATTATGCAACTCAGCAAGATCGTCGAAGGCGCTGAATTTTCTTGTGTATTCGGAGATTTTCACACTTTAATAATATTTTTTTTATATTTTCTTGGAAATTTTTAATTTAACCACACGTTACTAGTATGCACTTGTTTAATTTTACCGCCACAGCTGTTGGTATTTTGATGTATGTATTTATGTTGTTGTATTTTCTTATAATTATTGCTATTATTAAATTTTACAGCTTTTAGCTTAGCCACTAAATTTAATTATTATTTATAAATTCACTTTAACTTTTACATAAAACACTTGCCTTTACAGTGGATTTTTATAAATATTTTCTTCTTTTTTAATTAATATAATAACCTAAATTACTCTCAAGAGCTTTTTATTTATTATTATATTAACGGAATATTATTAATGAAGTTTTGGATTTTTATTATTATTATTATTATAATTTTCTTTTTGTTAGAACACAAGTTTTCTCCGAAAATATTTTTTAATTTTTTATTACATATATATTTTAAGCGGAGAAAAACATTTATTTCACTTCTTCACACATCCTGTTAGGGAAAAGAAAAAAAATACAAATTAAAAAGATGAAAATAATTGCAAATTATAAATTGTTAATAAACATATGATGAATAATGATTTAATTTTTTATTTTTTTTTTCATTTATGATTTAATTTAACGGAAACGGAAATTGCATTGCGAAATGACGGAAACGGGAACAAATATTTAAATTTCTGCCAATAGCGTTGGCGGCTAGTTGCATTGAGTGGCAGTCACGACAAAAAGTCGATGGTGGCGGTGGTGGTAATATCAAGCGACTTTATTATTTAAATCAGTGGTTTGTAGTTTAATGTTTGGAAGTTTAATCAATTTTGGCGTCAAACGTTTGTTTTTATTTTTATTTCCTTTTTGTAACCTAATTCACTCACAAGCTTACGTGTACATCTATATATTTTATGTTTTCACGACAATTTGACGCATTTGGCATTGTGCGGTAGCAAAATAGACTGAAAAGAGAAGAAATTATGATCGTTTAATTAATTTAATTATTATTAAAGAATGAAAGTACATAATATATTTATTAAATACACATATACATATATATATTTGTGCATACATATGTACATACTTATATGTTACACTTCTTTAGCCTTTTGGGCTTTCTATCATTTTAAAATTTATCATTTCCAATCTGTTGTCACTAGTGTTCGCTTGATATATTTTCCAATCTTTTCATAAACTAACTCTTAACCACCTCTATTCATTCGACCGTATGTAATAAAAGGGAAACAAAAAAAATTTTAATCAAAAAAAAAACATTAAAAAAAACTAAAAACAAATTGAAAAAATTTGTGATGAAGAATAATATAATAAAAAAAAAATTAAAAAAAAAATTTTAATTAAATAAAAAAAAACCAAAAAGCAGTTTTTAACCAAATTTTGTTTTAAGAACTGCATACAAATCTTATTTTACTGTTAATTTTTTTATATATATAATTTGTGTACATAAAAGTAAGTGCATACTGATTAAGATTTCTTTTGTTTGGTATGAACTTCGAGTCATACATATGTATAGAATTCATTCTATCCAAATGAAAAGTTTTTGAGAATGTATGTATGTTTACATCAACCAGTGTTGAATTAAATTCAACTCATGTCAACTGATCTAACTACATTGAATTGAATGCTGAAATTAAATTGGATTGAATTGAATTGAAGCGAAACCGAAACTGTAATTGTATACGAAACAAATACATTTGTGGATACATATTATACAATGTTGACAATTTTCACTCAGCCAATGCAATGGCAATAAAAAGAAAAACAAAAATATTGAGAAAAACTGAGGCAAATTAATTTAATTGGCAAGTACGTAGTGTATTTTTTCTTCATTTTTTGTTGAAATTATTTTTTATCCTCTTCGTTTTTTTCTTCTTGTTAATTTTTTATGGCGTCTCCAATTAGACAGCGCCGTGTAAGCAAAGCAATTGTGTATTTCACTTGCATATGCAAATTGAACTTGTGAACTTCAAACAACACAAAAAATTACTAATTAAATATGTTAAGTAATTTCAACACATCTGACGAAAAAAAAAAATCAAGGAATTTGTTGAACTTGCAGAATATAGGAAATACTCGTCAATATTGTGCCACAAGCTGTTACACTGGGACTCCTTAACCCAAATAAATTATTTTATTTTAGTTTTTTATAAGGTGCGCCGTAATCTCGTAGACCAACTGCCAAAACAAACTTTTCGAAGTGGCGCTGCTATCAAAAATATCTCAGTTTTCACAAAAATTAAATAATTCTAACACATTAATGTCCCACCACATCCCCAAAAGTGTTGGAGCAGCACCTTAAAACTAATTGAAGATTGGCTAGCAAAAAAGGAAAACATTCCAGAAAACAAGTTCAAACATATAATTTTGTAATTGACACCAAAGCATGCTGTACTGTCTAACTCAACAATGTACCCATTCGCCAATGTACCGAAATTACCTCTCACTGAATGCACTTCGATAGGCGCTTATTTACAGCCTTAACACCAAAGTCCTTCTATATAATGGAACGATAGGACAGCATGCGTAATGAATGTAAATATAATTCACAAGTTTTAATCGAAGACGTAAGTGTAAAGATAACTGACGCACCATGGTACATGCGTAATGGAAATATCCCGAGATCTAAATAAACGCATCATCAAAGAAAAAACGTAGGAAAACGGCGCAGTCATCCGAATCCTTCGGCCTCCGCATCAAGTCAAACCCGCCTGAAGAGAAGAGACCTACCAGGCTTTTAAAAAGAAACGTCAACCTGCAGCCCATCCGTGCTGATGGGTTAAATTTTTTAGTCCAGTGTAAAATTTTATTACTTATTGTTAAGCTTCCGATGGCGAAGCCGTTCCAATAAATAGGCGCGTTTTAGAATCGTAAGACAGAAGCATCCTTTCGAATATTGTGACCAATAATGTTAACAGGAGAGAAGCATTTCCAATATATAGACGGACTATACAGACCTCATTGGTTTACTATGTAATAAAGATTTCTTTGGGCCAAAAAGTTATTACAGGTTAAAATAAAATTCCTTCAAAAGACTGACATCTATCTATTTAATAATAATTGCAGAGTTATGCTCATGTTCTCTATGTTGTCTAATTGACGATTAGTTGCATAAAACCTTTATTTATATTCCATATTTTTGTTTTTACAAAATTGCATTGGCAGAACTATACTCAATTCCTACTCTTGTGTCCACATCGCGCACCCTGTAAACGTGAGCAACCCTTGTGCAAGATGCGATAACCAACCCGTGTGGATCATGGTTAAAAGAGAGGAAGCTTCAGTGCACCTACTCCCACATATTCGATTTAAGCGTTCTCTGTAGTCTAATTACACCGTCTGTCGGTCTGGAAGCAAGCGCCTCGCTATATAAATGTGTAAAAAATTTAAACTTACTCGTCTAGCAAGGTTTTGCGCTTCTATATGGCCCAGCCCTAATGAAAAGTTATAATACACCTCGGATGAGATACCCCCTTTTGGTGATGACTACTGCCAACGAATTGAGGATCACGATTTGAGAGGGGAGGGTGCATCTGCCCGGCTGGTTGATGACGAGTAGGACCTTACAAGCGCGAATTTGGTTTCGGATTCATGGTGGGAGAGAGACTCCGACGTTGAATACTGACATTCACCCCAGTGGATCTCCATCTCGCCACAATCTGCATATCACTAATAAGCGCCCACTCCCCGAAGGAACAGAAAAATGATGTGACTGAGGAGGATGCCTTTTATATTGAATTTATAGGGAAACACTTTTCCAGCCTGCTGAATGGCAGGAAAATGCAGCACCCAGAGATAGTGAACCCGACACTTCAGACGATGACGATTGTCTGGCTATTAAATTGAAAGGTCGTACTTAAAAAATAAAAACTTTTCTAAGCATTAATCAAATACTTCCATGCAATGTGGGTATATACATATGTACATACAGCTATGGTCACGCAAATAGCACAAAGTGTATCATACGAGAAAATGTAACTCTTCTGAGGAACATAACGGTATTTTTCTGAATAAAAAAATGTATAATAGTTACTTATGTTATCTAGTTTACAGTGCGTTTCGTACATTCCCGTTATCCTATCAATCATATTTTTTTCGTCGATTTATCTGATCATGCTGTTAGTTAGTGGTGGTCACGCAAATAGCACAGTCATCGTTTGGATCTTGAAAGTATCTTTTCATTTATTTTTAGTGAAATTTAAATACATTTAAAGTTTAGTTCTATCAAAATTTACGCAGATTGAACTAAAATGGGTTGCGGTAAACACTGTACTCCTTAAAAAAGAAGCGTTATTTATAACATGGCTAAGACAGGGAGAAGTGTTTCAGAAATTGCAGTTTTCTTGAATTAATCCCGTAAAATAGTACATAATGTCTTTAAACTGGTTCAAGAGAGTGAAGATTATCTATCTCAAAACAAATCCAAGGCACCTGCCCGCGCAATACAGCGATTTTCGAAGACAGAGCCAAAATACGAAAAAAGAAGCTAGATCCTTTTAAATTTTCTGGCAAAAAATGCTGAAAATAAACGAAGAATTCGATTTGACTATATGAAGAAGCCATGTCGGAAGGCGTTTAAATAAGACCCAGCTCTTTGGACGCAATGCCCGCAAAAAACCACTCCTGTCAAAACGGCATATAGAAAAACGGTTAAAGTTTGCTAAGACGCCTGAGAACCGGGCGATAAGATTTTGGAATAATATGTTACGGACCGATGAAACTAAAATAAATAGAATGGAACCGGATGGGAAAACCACATTTCATCGCCAAAGAGGTCAAGATTTGAATCCTAGGTACAATAAAAAGACCGTAAAACATTTAGGCGGTAATATCATGATTTGGGGGGCACTTTCCTGGTATGGCGGTGGACCAATTGTGCGGATAAATGGAAAAATGGACAAATATCAATATCTGGACATCTTAAAGAATGAAATGGAATGATTTGTATTTGACTCCATGCCACTAATTGGACTTTTATGCAGGATAGTGATCCTTAGCATACCGCGAAGGTCAGACAAGATTGGCTTAAGAAGGAAAATATTCGTGTTTTGGATTAGCCTGCGCAAATCCAAGGCCTAAACCCAATAGAAAATTTATGAAACGATGTTAAAACAAAAATATCTGCAAAAAATTCGATGATTTGTGGGAGTACGTCAAGGGATAGTGGTACTCCATACCAAAA